GTGCCCTTCTTGTCCCCCAGTCTCCTCTCCTGTCTGCGCTGTATTTCCCAGGCTCCTTTGTTGGACCCCTAGGCTCCTCTTGTCATCACCCCCCTTCTCAGGACTCATTCCATCATCCCACACCCCTCCAGTCTCATCTGTTGCCCCATGGTCCCCTTTGTTGGCCTCTGCACCCAGTCCTCTCTGTCCCCCACAGCTTCAGGGCATGGTAGAAGCCCTGACTGTGATGTAAGTTGGGGTTGGATCAGGGAGTCAGGAGGATGGGGCATATCTGAGTGTGTGAGCAGCCAGTGGGCTCTGCCCTGACCTCCCACAAGAGACAAACTGCAGCTTGGCCTCTCTTCTCTTCCCTCTTCCATGCTTATCCTGTTCTTGTCCAGGGTCTCATTCTGCCTACCACCCCTAACCTCGCTCCTCTCTCGGTGAATGTACTACCAGGTTTATTATCAGACCTGTTCCTGAGGAATGCCCAACAGTAGGTGTGCTGCCATACCCCTTCTCCCTGTAACCCTCCTCCGCAGATCCTCTCTGCCCAGCCACCCACTTCCTAGCGAGAGCCCAGCTAGGCTTCGCCTCGGCCTCCCAGGCCTTTCCTGTAAATGCACTCAGAGCCAGGAGGGGTGCCATATTAAATCAAGAATGATGGAAACCAGTGGCCATGATTATCCAGCCGAGATGAAGCATTGGGAGCTGGTTGCTGCTAGCTCCAGGTGAGGGCTTCTGAAGCTAATTGCATGTGGCTTTTATTAAGAAGATGATCACTCCCCCGCTCTTGCTCTCCTGGGTAGCTTCTTGGGCCTCTCAGCCCAGTGCCCCCTACTTTTGCAGGCTGGGTCATCTAACCTGTCTTCTCCTCCAGTGGAATCCTGTCAAAGCAGGGCCTTGACCTCAGTCCCTGTAGCCTTCCTCCCCATTTCCTCAGAAAGCCGGGAACAGCAGTAGCCCACATTCATAGACCCTTACCAAGTGCCTTCTCCCATCCTTCTCTCTCCTCTCCCCCAAATAGAATATATACAGACCAAATGTTTTCCTTTCCTAGGTTCTTCCACTGGTTAGTTTTCCACAAGCCTGAACTCATAGCTCATGCCTTAAAAAGTCATTCATTCATTCAGCATATTTTTTAATATAAACTCTGTGCTAATAAGCATTAGGAAAAGAGCATGAAGCAGTAACCTTCTACCTGGTTTAATCCCATTGTCCTGTACATTTTTATCAAAAAGTCTGATCCAGTTTCAGAAGTTTCTCTGAGGAGATATATAGGGCTTCAGGCTGGGAGGGAGTATGCTAGAATCAGGATGTGCTCAGATTTAAGCCATAGGTTGAATCTTTCCCAGTACCATCTAGAAAGCTCCTGAGAAACCAGCCAGATCACAGTGCAACCTTTCCCCCATGCTCACCCCCATAAAAGTCAAGAACCCTTTCCCATTGCCCAAGAAAATAATAGGAATACTAAGATAACCTAAAATCATGACAGTGAAGTCGACTTATAGGAGGTAGAAATATTTCCCTGAAAAAGACTTAAGGAGGCCATGGTGGCCGTACCCAAACCAACAAAGTGGTGGGAAATGTCATGTTAGGCTTTGCCTGTAGCAAAGGAAAGAAGATATGTTTTGTGAGGCCCCACAAACTAATAGATGAAAAGTACCTAGATATGGAGTTCTCTACCGCGTAAGGAAAATTGACAGGCAGAGCTGAGCCACCCCGGACAGTAGAGGCGTCCTGAGAACTCAGTTGGTGTTGAGACTGTACCCTGCAGACCCAGGGTTCCTAGGGCGAGAAGCCTCAGGAGCCACACTGGGGCAAGTGGGGGCATCCACGTGGACTTGGCCTCTGGCTTCTGCTTAAGCCGGAGCAACCGTTCCCCTTATCTGTGGGCTCCGTGCAGATTAAATTAGTTAAAAGGGTTCCAGCACCAAAACAAAAACAAACAAACAAAAAAGGCACTGGTTTAGATAATCAGTTATCAGAATACAGCAAAGGAGAAGTTACATTTATCAGAGGCCTGCCACGGGCCAGGTACTATGCTGGCCACTTGAGTCTCTCACATAGCGACTTCTACGTACACATTTGTTGTATGCCAGAGACCTATCAGTTGTTTCATATACATCACCTCACTTAATCCTCACAAGGATCCTGCAAGGTAGGTGTGAGTACCATCACCGTGTTAGAGATGCGGAAACTGAAATTCAGGGAGGTGAATTAACTTCCCCAAGGTCAGCTAACTAGTGACTGGATTAGGCGAGGTCTAAATTCACATCTTTGTGGAGCAAATCTGCTTCTTTCTGCCACACTGTGTGCCCCCACTGTGAGCCAGAAGAGGAGTCAAACTCCAGATGGGGACTACTATAAGAATTCAGTGAGACACTACATCTAAAGTGCTGAGTACCGTGCCTTTCACACAGCAGCTGTTCCACAAACTGTAGTTACCTCATTCGGTTGGCAACATGTATTGACTTCTTCTGTGAGTAGGGCCCTATGCTAGGCGCTGGAGCTATAGCAATGAATAAAACATGGGCTTTGTCACTACGGACCTCATGTGTGGAGTAAGGAGACATAAACAGTCAGTTAAATAAGTGCTCTGGAGGTCCCGGGGCCAGGGCAACAGGCTCCTTAGGCAATTTGGTATTTAAACTGAGATCACTTAGAGGTAGGTGGGAATAGAGAAGACTTTTGTGCTGAGGGAGCAGTGTGAGCAAAAGGCCCAGAGGCAGGAATACCCATCCCTGAGGGGAAGTGACGAAACAGACCTAACAAACCCTCCGAGGCCAGCTTCCTTCTGCAGCCAGACTGACTGTGAGCTGGCCAGGCTGCTGGCCAGTGCTGTACCAGCAGGTATGTGTGCATCTCACCATCAGAGCCTTCCACCCCAGTGGACTCGAGTGCTGAGAGGGGCTGAGTGGACAGGGAGGAGGAAGCAGATACATGCCTGGAGTCGGCAGAGCCAGGTGATGTATGTGGCGCCTGAGGGAGCTGCACGATGACACGCTGGATTCCAACCAGCAAGTGTTGCTCCGCTGGGATCAGCGCCGAATTATTGCTCCGTATGAAACCCCGGAACTGATGGGAGCTTTCAGTTACAGACTGATAGCAACAGCCGAAATTGGATTGTTTGCTATTTATTTTTTTTAACTTCTGTCAAGGTCACTACCTTAACAGGAAAACACTGCCCAAGCAGCAGGTATTTTTCATCCACTCTCCCTGCAAGAGCAATCTGCAGCCACAACTTTTGTGACAGGGCCATACCTTGGCAGCTCGCTTTCTAGAAAGCTGTCAGTATTACAGGGGCCCTAGGGGAAAGAAGCCTCCTGAAGACCCAGGTCTTTCCATCCCACTTCAAGACCTGTTCCCTTCCCCCACCCTCCATCCCCTGGCCTCCATAAATGCTTTATCATCAGACCCACACACTCACCCCTCCTTGCCCAGTCTCCAGATAGTCCCACAGCTCCCACGTAGCCCAGTATTCCAGCTCCTTCAAGCCTCCTGTCTCCCAGAATTGTTCCGTGCTTTATGTATCCTTCCCTTCTCTGTACTCCTACATCACCCAGTCTAGCTGTTAATTTCTCTTTATATCTGTCATCAACTTCATTTTTGCAAATATTCACCAGATGCCTCCACTGTGCCAGGACCCGTGCCGGGAATAGCAGTGAGTAAAAGGCAGTGCCTACCCTCAGGGGGCTCATAATTGATTTGGAAGACAGAATCACACACATGCAACAAACTGGTTTTCAAGTAATTTTTTTTTTTTAGTGATAGGTACAAGGCTAGAAATAGGCACACATGCTTTGGAACCATGAGGGAAATGGCTAATTCTGCCTGAGTAGTATTTGTATACAGACCCTGCCTCTCCTCCCCTGCACAACTTTGAGCTTCCTGAGAGCAAGGCCTGGCTCTTCTCTTCTCCCTCGCAGCAGGACCAAGCTCGGGCCTCCTCCATCTGCCTTTTCTGAAATGGACCAAGCCGGAGGCCAGACACATGCCAGACACTCAGCATCATCTAAACCTCCCAGGGGGCAGGGTATAATCCTCCTCTTTCCCCCTGCCCCACCTTTCCATCATTGCATGCACAGGGCCAGGCACACAGCAATTGCTGAATAGTTGTGTTTAATTGAAATGCAGTATCATTGAAGTAGAGGGTGTTCGTAGCTCTGGTTTAAAAACCAAAATGGGTTTCAAGAGGTTAAGTGGAGGACTTCCCTGGTGGTGCAGTGGTTAAGAATCCGCCTGCCAATGCAGGGGACACGGGTCGATCCCTGGTCTGGAAAGATCCCACATGTCGTGGAACAACTAAGCCTGTGCGCCACCACTACTGAGCCTGCACTCTAGAGCCCATGGACCACAACTACTGAAGCCCGCACACCTAGAGCCCGTGCTGTGCAACAAGAGAAGCCACCACAGTGAGAAGCCCACGCACCGCAACAAAGAGTAGCCCTCACTCACCACAACTAAAAGAAAGCCCGCGTGCAGCAACAAGGACCCAACACAGCCAAAAATAAATAAATAAATAAATAAATTTATAGAAAAAGAGGATAAGTGGAAAAGGAAAGGAACCTATATTTGTAAGCACTCAGTGCACATCAGTCATGATGCTAGGCACATTCTATATACATTATCATATTTAATCCCCAATTTACGGAGGAGAAAACTGGGGCAAAGTAACTTGCTCCAGGTAATGAGCACATCTTGTAAGTGATAGAGCTGAGATTCGAACCAAATCTTCTGTCAGACGCCAGAGTCAAGGGTTAATTTACTAGCAGTACTTACTAGCAGGGTGAGGCAGGACCCCTGAGCAGTGGCCACCCGAGGTAGGGAGATGAGGTGAGGCCTAGGTCGAGGGGCAGGGGGAGGACTGGGCCAGCCTCCAGTGGTCATGAGCCAGAGCTGTGCATCAGGACCCTCAGAGAAAAAACCCTGTGTTTTTCCCCCCTGGGTTGGGGGATAGAATGAAACTAGGATCCTCCTGGGCCCAGCACTCCTGAGCCAGCTTCTCTCTCTCCCCACAGTACCAAGAGAAGCAGCGGAAACGTGAGGCCGAGGAACGGCGCCGCTTTCCCCTGGAGCAGCGGCTGAAGGAGCACATCATTGGCCAGGAGAGTGCCATCGCCACAGTAGGTGCTGGTGAGTATGCGAGATGCTGGCCTGCACCAAAAAGGGCAAGGAAGCTCGCGGTCTGCCCTAGTGAGCTGTAGTCCTGCTGTCTCCATGCTGGGGAGAAGTGGCTAATAATATTACAACATAACATTTGTTGAATACTTCCTATGTTCCAGGCAGTGTTCTAAGCTCTTTGCATATGTTGTGTCATTTAATCTTTACAGCAACCCTATGAGGTTGGTGCCATTAAATTCCTCTTTTACAGATGAGGAAGCTGAGACAGAGCACTTCAGTAATTTGCTCAAGGCTGCCTTCGTATGCTTTGAATTTAACTCTAACCTTCATCTGGTCTACTGCCCCCACCCCACCCCCATTTTTCAGGTAGGGAAACTGAGACCCAGAGAGGAACAAGAGTTTGTCCATCACTAGTAATGTAGCAGTTGAGCCAGAACTAGAACTTTTATCTTCTGTCTCCCAGCACAGGACTCTGCCACACTTCAGTATAATTTGTCAGCAGCTGGTTCAATTTTGGGGAAAATATTCTGAACAAGTCTTGAGTGCCTTCTTCTCCACCTCAGAAGTTCTTTATGTCCGATACTTTGACCCCTGGGAGCTAGACTGCCTGCTGGTGTAACTCCTAATCTAATGGCCCTCCTCCCCATGCAGATCCCACTAGAGAGATATATCAAACTGAGATTCTGCTCAGGATGGTGGCCTCACTATTGTTCCTCTACTCAGGTGCATGACTCCCTGAGGGTGACCTCAGACAGGTGAGGTAAGGTCAGTGGAACCCTATGCCTGGCCTAGACAAGGGGTATCCCCCAGGGCAGTGGTTCTCAAAGTGGTCTCTGGACCAGCAGCACCAGCATCCTCTGGGAACTCGTTGGAAATGTAGATCTGAGGCCTCAGCCCAGACCTATGGAATAAGAAGTTCTCGCAGGGGGCCCCAGAAATCTGTGGGTTTTGTTTTTGGGGGTTATTTTTTAATTTATTTTTTTGGCCATGCCATGCAGCTTATGGGATCTTAGTTCTCCGACCAGGGATTGAACCCAGGCCCTCGGCAGTGAAAGCAGAGTCCTAACCACTGGGCCCCCAGGGAATTCCCCAGAAATCTGTGTTTTAACAGGCCCTGCAGGCAATCTGATGCTCAGCTCAAGTTTAAAAACTTCTTTCCGGTACTTCCCTGGAGGTCCAGTGGTTAGGACTCTGCGCTTCCACTCCAGAGGGTGCAGGTTCAATCCCTGGTCAGGGACTGGGATCCCGCGTGCCACGTGGCTTGGCCAAAAAAAAAAAAAGAAAATTAAAAACCTCTTCCCTGTGATGTCGTGGTCAGTCCCACTCACATGTTGCATCTGGTGCTGCATCTAGTCCCACCAGATGCAGCCCAGCGACTGCCAAGGCCAGCACCAGTTCTCGCCAGTAAAAGGAGAAATGAGTCTGAAATTGTGGTGCCCCTCTGGAACATTCTGGAGTGGCCTTGTCAGCCCTAGGAAACCTATTAGAGGAGTCATTGAACAATGAAGGCAGTCACCCCTGTGACACACTAAGCCCAGCCCAGTCTCCATCATCCTCACACACCAGTGGGACTGTTAATTTCTCATTATATCTGTCATCAACGTCGTTTTTGCAAGTATTCACCAGATGCCTCACACACCAGTAGGCTCGTGAGACCCTCATCAGGGGCCTGACCATCAGTGAATAAGAGGAGCCCATAGGGACTTCCCTGGTGGCACAGTGGGTAAGACTCCACGCTCCCAATGCAGGGGGCCCAGGTTCAATCCCTGGTCAGGGAACTAGAGCCCACATGCATGCCGCAACTAAGAATTCACATGCCGCAACTAAGGAGCACACTTGCCACAACTAAGGAGCCAGCAAGCTGCAACTAAGGAGCCCTGGAGCTGCAACTAAGGAGCACGCCTGCCACAACTAAGGAGTCCACATGCTGCAACTAAGGAGCTGGCGAGCTGCAACTAAGGAGCCCACCTGCCGCAACTAAGAAGACCCAGTACAACCAAAATTAATTAATTAATTTAAAAAAAAAAAAAAAAGAAGAGCCCATAGACCAGAGCTGCCTCACCAGCTAGAGGTCAGAAGGCTGCCTGCAGGCACACACAGGAGCCAGGGAAAGCTTTTATGAATACACAAGTTCCTGCTACTCAGGCCCAGACCACACCAGGCTGCCCTTTTGGGTCTGGATACAGACAGCCACCCTCAGCCACCACCTTGGAGGTGGCAACACCGCACTCTGTGTCTGAGGTAGAGGGGAAGGAGACCTGGGAACTCTTGAGTTGAAGAAGAGAGGAGGAGGAGCCCATGGGAGAGACAGGTGACCTAGCAGAGATCTGAGAAAGCATATCCTGCTGGAGTCCCATGTCCACTTGGGCCAGAACTGCAGCTGCCATCATGATATTTTCCCCCCACTTCTTACACAGCCCTTTCCCAGCAGGTTGCCTGCTCCTCTTACCTCCTGCTACTCACCAGCTTCTCAAGCCCATAAGCTATGAAGCTCCCAGAAGTAGCTGGGGGGAGAGGGAGGATCAACCAGGGCTCAAATCGTAGGTGGGCCACTTACCAGCTGTGCAGCTCAGGCTGGTCATTCAGCTTCTTTGAGCATCAGTTTCCTCATCTCTGTACCGAGGAGCCAAATCCAGGACTGTCGGACTGTAAAGCACATGCTTCTTCCAGCGTGTACCAGATAGCACTCAACAAAATCTAGTCCCCTTCCTCAAGATGTTTACCACCTAGGGTTGGGTACTGTGCTCTACAGGTCAGGCCCACAGTTATTTCCTTCAACCCGGGACTTATCCCTAGTCCCAGCCCCAGACTGGTCTCTTCCCCAGGTCCTACATCACCTTGTCTGTCCCTGCCCTTGGCCCAGAGCAGGAGTAGATGATTCCACTCCCCACCTCCTAGGACCTGTCAGAATGTCTGCCCCGACGTGCTTCCTTCTATCCAAAGCTCCATTCTGTCACCCGAACTGCCTCAGATCTGGAGGCAGATCTTTGTCCTGTGGTATGTAGGTTGACCCTGCTATGGCTCCAGTGATGCTGGAAAAGATACAGAGGCCGTGGATGGCCTGGGCTGAGGGGTTGGTATGTTCTCTTCCATTTGTAAAGCAGTAACTGTGCACCCACCTTGCTAGAGGCCCTGCAGCCAGGATCACACTGATAATAGATTGTGTTCAGCTACAAACTCAGGTGAAGCATGAGGCACTCTTTGGGTTGGAATTTGTGGCAGGTAAGCAGCAGCCAGTGCCTCAGGACCTCAAGACTGAAGTAGGTGCAGGAGAGGGAGGCGGATCTAGAGGGTAGGCCAGACCTCCCTGAGTCCTCTAGGCTAGTGTCAGATATGTGCTGGGGGCTGGCTGGGTGGAGCCTGGCACCCCAGGGGTACCACGAGGATGGGCAGGCAGAGAAGTGCCGCAGAATGAATTGATTTGATAAATGGCCATTTATTACCCTCACGAATTGACTGAAACCAATTTCGGTCACATCAACCCCTGGTAAGTGCTGGGATATTGATTTGTGCAAAGTAATACAGTGAATTTATCAGTGTGATCCCCAGCTGCAGGGCTTCTAGCAAGGCTGGCGCACAGTTACCGCCTTACAAATGGAGGAGATAAAGCACCAGCCCCACAGCCCAGGCCCCCATGGCCTCTCTGGGCTTCTGGGGTCACTGGAGCCAAAGCAGGACCAACCTACAGACCACAAGCCAGAGCACTGACATTGAAAGTGAGGCTCTCCATCCAGAATGCAGAGCCGTTCTTGAACATGGGGAAGGGGAGGATGCCTGTTCTACTGGGCAGACCTCCTGGGAGCTCAGAGCCTCTGTGCCCCACCATCCTCAGAAACGCAAGCAGTTGTCTATTCAGCCCATTCAGAGCTAGACTCCGCCCCCCTCCTCCAACCCACCCTCCTCCCATGTTCCTGTCTCAGTAAAGGCACTACCGTTCCCTGGTCTCCTAAATAGAAACTTAGGTGTTTCCTTGGTCCTTCCGTCCCCCTCACCCCTCACAGCCCATCAAGTTCTATCATTGTAACTCTCTGTTCTTCTCCCCTCTGTTCCTAATACCGCTGCCCCAGCTCAGGACCTCAGTATCTCCCATGTGAACCAAGCAGTGGCCTCCTCACTGGTGTCTCTGCCTCCTTTTCTTTCCCTGTAATCACTTCTCTCCAGCTAGAGTGAGCTTTGTAAAGTGTAGGAGGGGGAAAAAAAAAAACCTGTTTAAAATCTCTGAGTGGCTGCCCTAGCCTGGCACACAGGGCCCACCCCTGCTGCTCCCCCTCCTTGGTTGCCCCCACCCGTCCCCACCTGGCACTGCACAAAACGGCTGCTTCTGCTACCCCGCATGTGCTGTGTTGATCTCCTGCCTGCATTTGTTGATGCTGCCCCCTCTGCTTGTAATTCCCTTTCTTCTGGCCCCTTCCCCACCCCAGCCCTGCCCACCTCCCACACTCGGGCTGGTTTTTACTTAGCCTAACTCAGTTCAGGAGCAATAGACTGTAGACTCCTGAGGGCAGAGACCATGACTGAATCATTTTTGTTTTCCCATGTCCTGGCACAGCGCTCTGCTCGAAGTAGATGCTTAGTGAAGTTTGTCAGATTAATTATTTTGGTATGGCCCTTTGTCCATCTCTGATGTGCTCTGAGGAAAGAAGAGAAGCTGTAAGCCTGCTTTCTAGTTGTTCACAAGCATGCTAGGAATGTGACTGTAGCGAAATAGTTAATTACAACACCCATACTACTCAGCCTTTGACCCTTTTTCCCCAGACCTGCTCCAAGAAGCTTTTTCTGGGCAGCAGGTCATCCTACACACCCTGTCGCTCCCTCTGACCAGGGGCCTGTCCCCAGAACCCATTGCATCTGGTCCCAGTTGACTCAAGCCCATGAACTCCCCCAGGAAGCTCTACCACCTTGACTGCTCTTCCAAGGTCTGGCCCGAATTCAGAATCTCAACATCAGCCATGTGCACACAGTAGGCGCACCATCCTGTCTTGTGCTCCACGTCCCTCTTTGACTAATCCAAA